TGTATGTATGTATGTATGTATGTATGTATGTATCTATCTATCTATCTATCTATCTATCTCTATCTATCTATCTATCTATCTTTCTACCTATCTAGCTAGCTAGCTAGCTATCTTCCACATTTCACTGTGATCTCTAGTTATCTGGGCACCAGTTCAGCTAGTTGTTCCATTTGCTGCCTCTCCCTCATGGTGGCTGACTCTTGTCACATGTGGTTGGTAGACAGCAGGGGCAATATACAGAATTTTGAGTGGGAAAGATTATGATCAATTGTATTATCAGTCAAGTTGTCTTTTTTCTATAAAGGTAACAGCTGTTATCAGATAGCAAAAGACTCAGAAAATACACCATTCACATGCCTTTATTTAAAAAGATTACGTAAAAATATTCACTAGCTAATTATGAGATTAAACAATGGTAATAACTCATAGTTCTATAAGAGGGAATATTGACACTGATTTTTTTTCCTTTCTAAGAATATATTCTGAGCATATAATCTAAAATTTAGTGAAAGAGCTATGTACACAGAGATATATTGCAATTATTAATAAGAGGGGGGGGAAAGGAAATACTTAGATACCCTGAATTAGTGGAACATCCATGTGACAGAATGTTTACAAAGAGTTATTGATTACACTGAGAACTACTTATGATATAATGTTAATTTTAAAATATGGGTTCAACGAAATAAAGAAAAAAGACACACAAAAAATCAGAAGTAAATGTGCCCAAATGTTAACAGTGATTGCATAGTAAGATTATGGATTTTTTGGGGTATGTGTATTACTTTATGTTTTCCTACACATTGTGAATGTCAATGATCCATATTAATTTTATAATCAGAAAAGAGTAAAATGTCTACAATATTTTTTTTAATGAAAACTTCTGATGGTAACAATAGTCAAGAACTTAAATATCTGGGGTAATGTTAAATAAAGACGAAATGCCATGATACTGACTCTGACATTATAGTCTACAATTTACTCTCAACATAGCAGCCAGAGTATATTTTAAACAGAGGGAGAGAATTCAGGTCTTGTCTTTCTTCCATTCCAGACCCTCCAAAGTCTCCCCATTTCACTCAGAGTAAAAGCCAAAGTCCTTGCAATGGTCGACAAGGATCGACATGATCTGACCCCCTGCCACATCTCAGACCTTCCCTCCTGAAGCCATTCACACTGTTCTCCTTGCTATTCCTCAAAACTACCAAACACACACCTGCCTCAGTGCCTTTGCACACACCATATCCTCTACTTGAAATGCTTTCGATCCACACAGCCACATAGCATGCTTCAGATATCTGCTCAAATGTCGTTTTATCAGGGAGTGCTTCTATGACCCCCATATAAAACAGCAGCTACCCCCATTCTTCCCAGCACCCTTTCCCTCTTTCCCCTGAACACTTTATCACCATCTGCAACATGGCAGCATTTACTTTACTGTGTTTGTGGTCGCTCACCCACGAGAAGAGCTCTTTTGCCTGACACACAGAGGATGCTCAATAAACATGTGCTGAGTGCCTGAATGAGTAAATGCATTAGACTGTTGACCCCTCAAGAGTAGAGGGGCTGAAGTGCTCACTGATCCACCCTAAACTGCACAAAACAGGCAGCAGCACCAATGTGGTAGCTCCAGAGACTAACCAGAGTTTATCCCACTCCGGAAAAAATACAATCACCGCCAGAGATGATGAAAGTGAAGTATCCAAAGGAAAGAAAGACAGAGGGTTTGGGTAGAGCTATATAAGAGTTTCCATCAGGAATTCCAAGTTCTTCTATCAGGATGTGGCTTCTCCTGTAGGACAGAACTCCAAATTTTTATCATAGACTCAGAACCAGCTACATGCAGCACTTAAAATGACATTTTAAATGCTCTATTTAGCTTTCTCTTTGTTGTGATTAGATATTTTTCTAAGGGGAAAAAAGGCATCAGGAAACCAATTACCCTGTCACTCTCCCACCCCAAACACAGGCAGGAAAATGCAGCACCTGGATATGGTACACACGGGCACCCAGACTCACAGACACGTACACTTTTGCAGCCCATCCATGCCTACCGAATGCCCACGGTCTGCCTGGGGCTGCAGAGAAGGAATGTAGCATTCCTCATATTGCTAAATTTTATTGGCCTCTAGAAATTCAAGGACAAACTGATAGCATAATGCACAGCCTCATATTCTTGGCCTTAGGAAAGATAAGAAAATTTATCCTAAGCTATTTTGGATTTTCTGGGCACCGCAGTGCTCCGGAGATTAGGATGGGCTGGTGGTGGGCCCTGCACGTGGCAGCTCAGGACTCTCAAGGATGTGAGGGTAACTCGTGGTAGAGCTGGACGGGGCAGCTGCCTCTGTGCTCCACTCAATTATGATGCTTGCTACATTCGTCTTGCCTTTCGTCCACCTTCCTTTCTTGTGACATCTCCTTCATCTCTGTCCTCCAACAGCTCAGCTCATTTCATCCTGCTCGGCTGTCTCCCACATGATACAATTTTAAGGTATTTCCTCTCTCTGGGATATCAGCATCTTAAAAGGGACCCACTGAAGACCAGAAGGATCTCGAGTTCAAAGGGGGAATTTCTCACTGAGCAAGAGAGGGAAGCTCTAATATTTACAGCATACCTATGCTATGTCAGACACGTCATACACTTTAACGATCTTGCTGAATTCTTCCACATCTCTAGAAAAATAGAAATTATCATCACTATTTTGAGATGAGAAATCAGGGACCTCCAGGCAAGATAGAATGTTAGTTCACACTTTGAATACCTTCCCTGTTCCAAAGACACAGTAGTCTCAGATGAAAATATTCTAAAAACACAAGTAAACTAATCTGTGTTCAAAAACGAGATATATATCTCAATAGATGAGAAACTCCAAATATTTACTATTTTGAGGGGCTGAAGGCCCTGTTGAGTTCTGGGTCAAGAAACAGGTAGAGGCAGCTGGGAGCTTGGTTTTCTGGGGCACAGGGACGAAAAGTGCCTCATGGGAGGTGGGGGGTCAGAGCCAGAGTCACTGAAAATGGGCTGGTGAAGGAATTTCCTACCTGAGAAAAGAGGCTAAAAAAGGCTGAGTACCCCACTGGCTCCAGACTAGAACTTATATAAGAGCATAAACACTGAGGTGAGCTGGAAGCAGTATACACACAGCCAGGGCCTGGCTAGGCTGCCTGCAGCTTTGATGACTGGCTCTGGGAATAATCCCATTATCACCATGGACACACTGCTAGCTCATCACTAAGCCTAGACACCTGGCTGTGCACTGGGGTACCCAGGACCTGGGTGAAGGCAACAGCAAAATCACTCAGCAAGGAGAGCTGAGTAAAGGTGATGAGCAGAGAGAGAAAGGGAGAGAAACTGACTCCCACTCAAGATGAGTGTACAAACCCAAATTCCAGAACACCTGAGGAAAGCTGATGCTAAAGAAAGCTAACCAATAGCACCAACAGTTGGGAGAAGGTCTCGAAGATTTAGTGAACTGGAAGGCAGTACTGAAGAATTTACCCAGAAAGTATCCCAGAAAGATAAAGAAATAAATAACCAAAAGCATTTGGGAGCTGTGGAGGATGGATTGAGAGGCTCTACAATGTATCCAAAAGGATTTCCAGCAAAGGAGACATGGAATGTCAGAACAGCAATATTCAAGGATAGCACGTTCAGAATTTTCCATAACTGAAAACATTTTCCCTAAAATGTCTTCAGATTATATATAATCCTCAGATTATAAGTGCATACCTAGTGCCAAGCAAGAGAAGTAAAAAACAAAACAACACAACAAAACAAACCCACAACAACACAACAAAACAAACCCTCTGCCTGGCTCATTCTGTCCCTCTGATCCCCGGCCCATGACCCTCCCCAGAAGCTGCCTGCCAATGTCCCACTCAGGTCTGGCCCCACTTCCAATCTTGGCACAGTGAGGAAAGCCCTGGGTTTAGGGTTAGGAGATGCAGGTTTGAGCCGCCCATCTGCTACTGCCTCACTGAGGCTTGATTTCTTCCTCTAAAAGGGAGTCAGAACTAGAATTATAGAACCTTAGCACCGGAGGGACTTTGGGTGGCATCATCATAGCAGATCATGGCCGCATTTATTTTCAGCTCTCCCACTAACTAGCTCAGTGCCCAAATGTTACTTAACCACCTGTCTCCATTTCCCCATCAGTAGAAGGGGATACTAATAGCACTCACCGAGGGGGTCATGAAAGGATAAAATGAATTCATATATGAAAAGAACTTAGTACGGTGCCAAGCTTATAGTAAACATTCAACCTGGGGTGGCCTTTACTATTGCTATAACAGCCCTCCATAAAATGCCACCTGTACCTGTACTCAGTGTGAAGGGCTTCCCACTGAAACCATGGACTCCAGACATAGCAGAACCAGGGTCCACCGCCACCTCTGCATGTGGAAATGGGCAAGCCAGCAGCCTACCCAACCCCCACTTCTCCCTGGCCACTCTCAGTTGGCTCTCGAGCTCCAGAGAAGCCCCTCCCAGTGACCAGCCATGAACTTCCCCAAATTTGGTGTGCCCAGACCCCACCCAGCCAACCCCCACTCCGTCGCCCTGGGCACCCTACCTCTCTCTGCTCACTGCAGATCTTACAGAGCCACAGGGGCCGCTTCTGGCCAGGGGAGGCCTCGATCCCACATTTGGTGCAGACTTTCTACAAGAGAGAGGACATGGGAATGTAAACACTTCAGCTGCTTCCTCCTCAGCTGAGGGGTTGAGAAAATTGTAATCAAGCAACCCTTTGGCATCTTCCGAGGAGATGGCTTTTATTTCAGGCCAGAATGGTAGATATCCCAAAGGGCACAGAACATCAAAAACCTGTAGGTGGCTTTGGAACACAATGGATATGCTTATTCATGGATCTCCATGATATAGATTCACCCCCATAATTATGTTCTGTTAGGAGCACATCAAAAATAAGCTTGTTGATATTCATAGCTGTATCATGTTCAACAGCAAAGAACTGGAAACAACCCAAATGCCCAATACCAGAGGAAGATCCGGGCACACACAATAGAATATGACATGGCCTGTACACAGATTGTGTCCATCCCAGGAAAATGTAGACAGGAAATGATCTTACTCAATAAAGAAAAACATACATGTGTGTAACCACACAAAAACTCACGTATGTGCCTGACCAGGTGAGATGATGATATGGTGAGAAATACCAGTGACAGCTTGAGCACTTAATTTTATGTCAAGTCTCTTCACTGAACGATCCCAGGAATCCTACTACGTTGAACATTAAGCCTATTTTACAGCTGAGAAATCCGGGGCTTGGAGTAGTTTGAGAATTTGCCAGATTCACCCAGCAAGTAAGTAACAGACTCAGGTCTGACTCTAGAGCCATTATATAATTTTCTCCAGACACATAGTAGCCAGAACCTCCTATCTACAGTGTTTTTCCTTCTAAAGTGTTGCTTAAGCTCATAACTTCTAAATACTTATTTTGCTTCCCTGAAACACACTGCAACACTTGGTGGTGGGAAAGGGCAGGTGTAATATGCCAGGAGGCAGAGGGGACTTGGTGGGGTAGAGTCTGACTCAGCAACAGCAGGTCCTCCTCTGAGAACTGTCGCACCAGGCTAATCAATCTTTCAGCCACGCGGAAGCTGCTTGGTCCCTGCAGGGCTGGGGGTTCTCTCCTGCCCACCCTCTTCCCACTGCAGAGGGAAAGCTGGATCTGTTGCTTGGCCTTTTCTGCAGGCTGCCAACTGAGCAAGAAGCACACCTCTCCACGGAGAGGAAAATGTCACCAACTTGGCTTCCCAGAGCATGTCGTCACTGCCTGATTGGGCGACTGAGCTCAGTGCTACCGCAGGAGGTGAGAACTAGCTCTTGGCAGAAGGGACGCCCTGATACATTCTTGGGGGGTATGCGTTTACTATCATTCAATACTCAGGTATGAGAAAAGTCACTTTTATTTCTCCAAATAAAATGTAATTGTCCAAGCTGCTGGCTCTCTGGGCTGGCAAGGAAGTCCATCCAACTCACAAGTGAGGCTCTCATGAAGGTCCTGGGCTTGGGGTCTTCCGAGGCACAAGACCTCTGGGGAAGGTCCCCTGTCTGGGGTGCTCACTGCTGTGCTCCTCTTCCTCTGAGATTCCATGGTCTCTTGGAGGGAGAAGGGGCCTGGCCACTTCTGTGCCAGGACTGGGTTTAGGATCTGTGCCAGGCTGGGGCTCAGCCTCTCAAGGGCCAGCAGCCTGTTTCCTGGGAGCCCTGAGCAGCCATCCCTTCTCCACTAGAGCCACCTCTCACTACCCATCCCAACACTCGCCCCCGACCCTTCTAACCTCTAGGACAGGGTTCTCATAAGCCCACAAGGTAGGCCTCAAGAAACACACACAGGCCTCTCCCCCTACGGGTAGAGAGGAAGGAGAACCTGAGGTTGTTTAACTTGCTAATGCCCACTACCTGGTATGAATAAATGGTACACATGTGAAAATAAGTGTGGCCCTCCCTGAAGCAATATCTTCCTACTGAATTTTCTACATGCTTATAGGGTTTGATGACCGCTTGCCTTCCAAGCACATGGAGGGCTCTGCTCCCTCCTAGTTAGATGATGGTGCTGGGAATAAGGAGGGAACAGAAGACCAGTTGCTACTATTCACTGAGTGATTGCGTGTGCCAGGCAACAAAGTATGAAGGAGGCAGGTGTTACGATCTCTATTAGACAGATGAGGAAACTGAGGCTCGGAGATGTTAAAGACTGCCCGAGGTCCCCCTGCTAATTAGGGACAATCAGGATTCGGGAGGGTCCCTTCCTCCAGACCTCAGAAGAGCTGGAAAATACCCTCCCGCACCTGGTGCCGGGCTGGTGGCCACAGCTCTCCAAGACGCTGGTTCATGTGCCTGGCAGTGTGGCTGATGACTCTCAAATGAATGGGCAGAGAAGCAACAAGGGATGACCTCCAACAAGTGGTGTGTAGCCGCCCATGCCCATCAACTCCATGATGTTGGTTCTTGGAGCAAAGACTCGGGCTGGGGAGTCTGGCTCTGTCTTCCTCAATATCTTGCAGGAGGGAGGGTGGCTGCTCTTCACAGGACAGAGGTTTTTAGCCACAGGCAGGGAGCCCAGGCCCAGCGGCCTTGCCAACAAACACCCTTGGGCTTCCCTACAGTCTCCTCTCCTCTTTGTGGCCACCCTGCCACACGCATTCGACAAAGGTGGGGACAGTGCAGCCTCTCCCCCTGTCTTGGTCAGCTCAGGCTGTTACAATAAGAATACCACAGATTAGGAGGCTTAATAACAAATACTTATTTAAGTTCCAGAGGCTGGAAGTCCCAGATGGGCGTGCCAGCATGGGTGGGGTCTCGGTGAGGGCCCCTTACACATGTCCGCCTTCTCGCTGTGTCCTCACATGGTGGAGAGGGAGCACTGGTCTCTCCCACTGATCCCATCACTGGGGCCCACCCTTATGTCCCTCATCTAAACCTAATCACCTCCAAGGGCCTCATCTCCAAATACCAACACATTAGAGTCAAGGCCTCAACATATAGATTTTGGGGGAACATACCCCCAAAGACTGGGCCTCTCTTTTGATTCTGTACATTGAGAGCCCTTCAAACAGGCTCCAATCTACCTCCACCTTGGATCACTTAGAGCCCCTAGTCCTCCCGGGCTCTCCATCTCACGCCAAGCTGTACTGTCACCAATTTTATGTGCTAGAAATGCTGTCTGAGTCCATTCAGAGGCTTCTCGGATTGGTGCTCTGGGCACAGGCTTTGAAGTGAAGCAGGCCTGGGCGGGCCCTTGAGCAAACTACTCAAAGCCTCTCTAAGCCCGAGATGTTCTCATCCATAAAATAGGTTAATATATCTTCATAGAGGATATATATAAAAGGTTAACTGAGATACACATGAAAACTGACCGGCAGATGATAAGCACTAGATAAATGCTGGTCATTATTATTTGTGACACCCCCTTGGGCTCTGTTCTAAATTCCTGCATGATTTTCCTCCAGACCTGCACCATCTAATATGATGGCCACCAGCCGCATGTGGCTATTTAAATTGAAATTAATTAAAATTAAATAAAATAAAAAACCTGGTTCCTTGGCCACACTAACCACATTTCAAATGCTCAATCGCCACATGTGGTTGGTGGCTATCATATCAGGTGGCACAGAAATGGAACATTTTCTTCATTGCAGGAGGTTCTGTGGGATGGGGCTGGGCCAGAGGACCCAGCCCTCAGTCCTGGTACCTTAAGACTCACAATCAGCCTCAACTGCCTGTTCCCACTGCTCCCCGACAGGGCCTCACTTCCTAGCAGACTAATATGCTCGCGTGTTTGCCCTCGTCAGTCTGTCTTCTGTCGCTACCCCACCCAATCCCATCTGATTCCAACCCATCCTCCAATTTACTGTTTCCTGTAACTGCTGAGCACCCATGGGGATCACAGCCTTGTGTTGGGAGGGTAGGGTCCAGGCTCACGTGCTCCCAGTGAGTCATACAATACCCAGTCCCAGATCAGCCTGCCAAGGCCATGGGGTGTGCCCAGCTGCATTGCAGGAGTGACATTTAAGCAGGGTTTGAGGGATGGGTGTGCACATGCCCTCAATAAATAGCGTCTGATTTATTGAACATCTATGCTGTTGGGGGGCAGGAAAAGAAACTAGGAGAGAGTGCATTAAGCTGTGTCTTGTCTTCTACCCACAGACCATGCATATAGAACCACCTGACCTGGGAACAGAAGTAACATGGGCCAGTCATTCTCCAGAGGCTGGATCACAGGCTGATAGTCAGCTCCCATTCTGGGGGAGGGGGTGGATAGGTGGCATGTCTCAAATGTTCTCTCCTCCCTTCGCCCTGTGTGGTGTTGTGGGGGCTGGCGTGGCATGACAGGGCACAGTCTCCCTGTCCATGCATACCTCTTTTTTCAGGCTACTTGTCATCACTGGTGAAACCCATGGTCAGATCCCGCCATCTCTCAGTTGTACAGTGTTTCTGGCTGGGAAATCCAGGACAGCAAAAAGATAACCTGCTCCAGTTCAAATAATACATAATTGCTGCTCTATTAAATCTTGGATCAATAAGAGAATAATGAGCCTTTTCTCCTGTGGGCTTGTTGGTCTTTATTCCCAGCTTCCAAAAAAAAAAAAAAGAAAAAGAAAAGAAAATTAAGCAGGTAGTATTTTAAAAAGCCACTGAAAAAGAGTATGTGGCATTGACTTGGTACAAAAGGAACGCAATACAGCCATGTCAAGGGCAGCCTTGGGGACTGGGGGTGGTCATTTGCTTCCCTGAGATGGGCTTCCACTGAGAGGAACTGCCCTGGGCGAGTGAGCTTTGGCTTCCTGGGCTTAGCTGCCTCGTGCTTCCTGCGGCCTGGAACTGCGTCTGAGGGTTAAACAAACCAAGTCTAGCTTCTGGGCCAGACTCAGAACAGAAGTGACAAAAGTCCAGGCCTTCAGCTTGCACGTGCTCTCTCCTCACTCCTGTTTTAGGTGCTCCATACATTCCTTTCGCAAGTATATATCCCAGCCTAAAATACAGATGGGGAAGGGGATGGGAAAGGGCATAGCCATGGGGCACAGGCTTCGGGGCAGGAGAGCAGAGTCTGCCATTTAAACGTAATCTTGGGCTTGTTACTAACCTTCTCTGAGCTTCACTTCCTCTGCTGTAAAATGGTGGTAACAGGCAAAC